ATGTATTGGCAGGAGTACCACCAGTGAGACTGTTAGCCTTAGAAAGAGGGGAGATCTGGCAAAACGAAGAAGAACAACGGCAGCGACATGGAGACCTCTCTGAGGAAGAGAAAAATCGCATACGAAGAGAAGCGCGAGAAACACTTTTGACAAGATGGCAACAAAATTGGGAGGCAACAAAAGACGGAAGATGGACCTACGAACTCATTCCAAGACTAAGAGAATGGGTACTCAGAAAACACCAAGTGGTCGACTACTACCTCACGCAGGCACTAAGTGGACATGGATCCTTTGGAGCTTACCGGGCCAAGAGAGGGTTTCGTAGCAAGTGCAAGTGCACTTTTTGCGGAGAAGAAAAGGACGACGCCGAGCACACACTGTTTGAGTGCCCTGCAAACGAATGTGAGAGACAAAGACTGACAGTAGAACTAGGATTGACTCGGATAACGATAGACAACCTGATACTGACCATGTTAACGACGCAAGAGAGATGGGACGATATAGCTACCTTCATCAGGGGAGCAATGAAGACCAAAGAAGAAAAGGAGAGAGAAACGAGAAGAAGAGACTGAAGAGATTACAAGACTGATGGGCTGAGAATCACAGCAAACGAAGAGGGATCCTTCGGGATCAGAACAGGCCCCACCGAAGTAATACTGAAAAGAAGTACCGGTGGGTGCTAGAAGTCGACAGGGGGAATTTCGCCTTGCGGCTATGCGTTATAACATGGCCGTAGGACGAGGGGTTTTTAGTCGGTATGCCACGTATTGGAGACTCCGACACAAGACGGCACATTGGTGCCGGGATCGTTTCGACGGCCTCGTCAACAATGGCCGTCTTGTCTTTAAAAGATTTTTACCCAACCCCTTAAAAAAAAAAAAAAAAAAAAACATATATACATACATACATACCTACATACATGCATACATACATACATGCATACATACAGTTGACATAGACCAAACTGTAGCCTTTCAGCCTGGAAATGTCTTGTGAAGAGAATCCTGCCATTCTTGCCTACTAGCGAAATCGTCAAAATATGAAACTTCAAACATCGATATCTGAACGAAAACAAAAATGTTTCAAATTTGAACAAAGGGTTGTGAAGGGTTAGAGTTCTTCTGTGAGATACCGTCGGCCGTTTAAAAAAAACTTTCAGTAGAGATTTTACATAACCTCAAAGTTAGCCAAAAACAGTATTTTTGCACTTTTAGGTTAAGATATCTCGGGAACCTGACATGATGGACAAAATCTGCCGCCGGATTTGGATTAAACGACTCAAAAACCTTCGCGAGCACCTAGTCACGGTTCTAGGTCAGTTCACTTTTCAAATTTTGTTGCCCTGTATTATTATAAAGTCTCTGAGCTATACTGAATTTGACCTTCGCGAGTTGCTACTGTCAAAGACGTTTCATAAATACTATTCCATTTCAAATTGGATCGTACCTAGATTTTATTACCTTTAATTTAAATTTATTATTCACCGAATAAATATCGGGAGTGGCACCCCTCTAGAGTTTTGATGATTTGCTTTAAGCAATCGTTTGAATTGAATAGTGCATGGTGCCCTTGTCCTCATTAAATATTAATAAAATAACTAAAGACTAACCAAGTTCCACGGGGAAATTAGTCAGAAAAAACCTGTGTTACAGTGGTTGTCCTATTCTTATATGACACTATGCTTCATTGACTGTTATCGCCTTCGTAGGGATTCAGGGTTCCATAGTGCTATCGTGTTAATGGCTGTCTCTTGCAGTCTTGTTAGTCCGCCTATATCGTCGATCAACTTATGTGGAACGTAATCTTTGCCTGGGTACACTTGATTATACTCCGCTTTTCTTTCAATGATTTGTGATCTGACGCTTACGCTTCGGGCAACTCACGCGGATACGTCTTCTAACTATTTGAATTCGATGGCATTATACTCTCCTAGAAGCTAGGTCTAAAGTCTACTGGATCTAGGTATCCACGTTCTCTCTATCCGCAACTCCAATTTTTGTAGATATTCTTCGATCTGATCAGCGCATTCAGTCAGCGCATATTCTTCTATCTCGTCTTGTGATTCTGTCATTCTTATTGTGTTCTCTTCGCTTGCGAAGGAAATGCGTACTTAAACTATATTCATGGTTTTAGCGCCTACGTGTCTTTCTGCGACCTAATTAAAATACGCTGGCGCTGTCTCCGTGATCACGTGTATTATTGATTTTGTGTATGTTTATAATCACTCGTAAAATAGACAACATTTTGGCTGAATTATGTTGCATGCCGAAAAGAAAAATAGGAACATGTTGAAGGTAAAAAAATTATACGAGGTCTGTTCGGAAAGTATCGGGCCTACCTTTATATTTTCGTGCTAGCGTTATTCTTTATCATCTGGTGGGTGGCATTCTTCAAAGTAATCCCCACTTGATTGAATAACACGGTTCCATCGATGTTTTCACTTTTCAAAACAGTCCTGGAACTCACTTTTAGGGATAGCTTTAAGTACACTCGTCGCATTGTTTTCAACCGTTGTTTTGTCATCGAATCGGTGTCTTTTGAGTGGTTTTTTTAGTTTTGGAAACAGCCAAAAGTCACAAGGGGCTATGTCGGGACTGTATGGAGGTTGTCAAAGCAATGAGATATTGTGTTTGCTCAAAAACTGCTGCACAAGATTGGATGAATGCGCTGGCGCATTATCGTGATGGAGAAGCCAGTCACCACTTTCCCAAAAGTGCGGCCGTTTTCTTCTTACTGCATCAAGCAAACTTTTCCAAATTTGAACGTAGTATTCTTTATTGATTGTCTGACCTGCTGGTGCATATTCGTGATGTACAACATCTTCACAATCGAAAAAAAATAACCAACATTGACTTAACATTGTTCCGACTTTGACGTACTTTTTTTGGTCTTGGCGATTCAGAATGCTTCCACTGTGAAGATTGTTGTTTTGTTTCGGGATCATAACCATAAACCCATGATTCATCACCTGTAATAACTTTTCTAAGCACATTATCATCATTATTGACCAATTCCAGATTGTCCAGAGCGGTTTCTAAGCGAATGCTCTTCTACTCTGCTGTGAGCAATTTTGGGATGAATTTCGCACACACGCGTTTCATTCCTAAATTTTCGGTTAATATTTCTGAAATGATAATTTTTGGTATCCTAAGGTCTTCTTCTAGTTCTCGTACAGTCATACGACGATCTTGTTCGATTGCAAGTCGCACCCGCTCAATATTATCTGCGGTTTTTGTCGTCGAAGGTCGGCCGGAATGAGAATCACTATCGACAGAAGTGCGACCATCCTTGAACCGTTTATACTATTCTTTCTTTCGTGTTTTGCTCATACACTTGCTTCCGAAGGCCTTTTGCATCATTTCAATAGTTTCCGAACTCGTTTTTCCGAGTTGAAAGCAAAATTTGATGCAAATTCGTTGATCTTATTTTTCAGTCATTTTTGACAATATCAAAATCCGACGAACGCGAAAAAAGCACTGTAAACAAAGACTCGCTGCGCATGAACTATACGTCGGGTAGGTGTCAGTAAGTAACCAATAGATTCGTGAGGCTTTACTGTTGACATTTCTGTCCGGTAGAGGTCGCTGGAACACTATGGCGCGAAGATATAAATGTAGGCCCGATACTTTCCGGACAGACCTCGTAATTTGATGTTACGACGTGGCTAGTAGCAACGGCACGGAAAAAACAATGAAACAGACGAAAATGATAACACGACAAGTTTATGTCTGCTTGTGCTACTACGCGTGTTCTCTTGCGATTACCGAAGAGAAAATTTCGCGCGTCAGCGGCGGATCTCTCCGGTCTCGCTTCTTCTTGTCGCCAATATTCCTCGATAGAATTCAGTCCGCTCCTTAGAAAACTCGAGAATCTTTAGACGTAACAAGTACGGTATTTGGGATCACGACGGAAGAAATGCTCACATGTAAAGATTGAATTATATACTGGTTCTAATTTGTGCAACTAGTCTCTGTCTTTCTCTCTCTTTATCTATCTCTCTCTCTCTCTCTCTTTCCTCGCCTCCCTTTCGGCTATGTACACGTGAAAGAGAACTGCCGTTTTGCACGTTCGTATGTGCTCACGTGATCGACGACCGTCAGTCGGTCATGTTCGCGACGAGCAACGGTCACCAACCGTTACAAAGTATACAGTCTTAATTGTCAGATCAGAAAATAAATTAATTAGTTCTTCAAATTGGGTTCAGTGGATCGAAAAACAGTTATTTATGTGAGTAAATCATGCAGAAACGTTTGTGTTACTTTGTTATTCATCTTGAAAAATAATGCGTTGTTTTGTTCAAAAGATGTTTGACTTACAAACCGAGTATTCTACGAAACAGCACATATGCACGAGCGCATATGTAAATATAAATGTGAAGTGTATTGTTCAGTCCATAAAATATACCAAGTAACACCTTTGTTCAACTCATAGATCGACTCCACACTTTGGTGCGAAAAAGAGCACCACGAACAGTCTGTAATCAAGAATCATCGATGACATGCGGACCTTCTGCACATAACCGTTACTTGTGAGTTAGCTTCTTACAATCATATCATTCGCCACATGTGAATCTCGTTTCCATGGTTGATTCCTTTCGATCCACTCTCGTGGATTTTTCTATTGTAACACAGTTTATTGACGTATGCAGTGTGCATTGCCGAAATTCTGGATGTTCGTACTAGTTTTTGGCAGTTGATCTTTTTTGATATTTTACATTGTAACACCAGCCATAATTTTATACATGCTATTCTACTCTACCTTGTTTAGAATGCTATCGCTTATATATTTGAAAAAAAAAACACTCTTTCGTACTGGTCTGGCTTTTTGCTGTTATTTTTTTAAATTAATTTAAACTGATTACTACAATGAAATATAATTAAATAACAATGTTTAACGGTAAGGGAGAATTATTTTTAATAACATTTCAAATAAAAAATTGTTGATTATATATCAACATTAAAAAACTAAGTGCTTTATGAATAATATAATATATTTCTTTCTCATTCCTAAAAACGATTGCACCTTGTGAGGTAGATAGTCAATTCTTTACAAGTAGTATAGTGTATTCATAATGTAGTTACTTACCAGCTCAGAAACTAAAGGCACAGATTTCCTTCTTGGTCGAATATCTGGCATACTGTCAATGTTACTGTAGAAAGTAATTTCGCCAATATGCCTGTAATTAGAATTTATGAAATTTTACTCTATATATCTATATATTTAATACGTATAGCCTTGTAGAATGTAAGTATATGGGGCACCTATACAACAATATATTATATACTACGTATAACTTTGTAGAATACAAATGGTAGCAAAAATACAACTTCATTAATTATAGAATGAATTAGTATATGTATTACTTTAGATTTTATGCACGTAACTGTATTTCTAATGACATCAAAAAAATCATTACGCATTAAAAAACATTTAATAAATTACTGATTGACTTTTATAGACCATGAACATTTGGGCATTATAACGAGCGCGACTGCTGCTCGTTATTTCTTTCTGTCCCATATCAAAATATACCCTTGTAAATTAAATATGTGTGAATATGTACCGCTAAGTTTTAGCGGGCTGAAATGAGGTAGGTGATAAAGAGAGAGAGAGAGGGAGAGAGAGAGTGGGAGTCGGACAGAATGAAAGACGGGTTCAATTATCGAACGCGCGGACCGCGAGGAATGCGTTCGGTTTTTCGGCGTGCGAAATTCAGTTTGGATGGTTCAACGCGAATACACGTGTGCCAGCTAGCGATCTAATCCTCCTTTGCTTTTCATAATCAAGCTTTCGACGACAAGATTGACGATGATATCCAGGAGAGGAGAACTCGGAGAGTCGAAGTATATAGAAAAAGAGTGAGAGTGTTTGTGTGCGTTTGAAGGCCTTCTGTCACCGGCGCCTGCCTCTTTGGAAGCCTTTTTTATTTGTCCTTGAGCGCCCGCTAAAAACCATCTTCTTCAGGGCAACGATTTGTAAGTACCGTCGCGTACCTTATCTCTCTCTTAAATTTGATTCTTGCTTTCTTTCTCTCTTTCTACTTTGTCGCACATGCATATATACACGGTGATTCTGAAATATTGGATGAAACTTTTATCACTGGATTCGTTTTGAAAAATTATTTAAGATATAATTATTTAAACATTTTTTTGGTAATTAGATAATGAGATAATCCACTTTAAAGAGTAGTCAATCAGCGGCCGGCTTTCGAATGTAGAATGCAGTTTGGAGAGCGCGAAGTGGCGTGAGAGCCGACATGCGCGCGCCGCAGTCAACTGAAAACGGTGCTCAACTACGTTTATGCGCGTAATGAATTTTGCTTGCTAACTGGAATTTTCAGTAATTAAACAATTACTTTAATTTACTTGAATTAGTTTATTCGTTATCAAGTAACGAATTAAGATGATGAATTTAAGTGAGTTGAAAATACTAGTATTTTTAAAAATTATGCTACATAGCGGAATACAAACTACGTTATTCATTGACAATTTGGGAAAATAACATATTTTTTTCCTTTTGTTATTTACTAATGATTATAAAAATACTTTCATTATTCAAAAATTGTTTATTTCTAAAAATATTTGGTGTTATTTTTGATCATGATATTTTAATAATAAAATAATGCACAAAAATAAACAAAAAAGCACAAGTTAATGAATAAAATTAAATTAAATGCACGAGCTTCCTTTCTCGAGCGTGTGTGATCGAGTCTTCGCGTACGGAACATCGAAAAAATACAAAAACCGTACTGCTAACAAATATCATATTTAGTGAGCAATATGACAATATGACAATACAAGTACGAGGTGTGTTCAAAAAGTAAGGTAACTTTTCAAATTTCACGGGTAACGTACTTTCGATTATCAATTTTTTTGTTTTGTTATGTTGGTACACTCTTTCCGAACATCTGTACCAAGTTTCAAGTGTATAGCATTTTTTGTTTGGTTGTGAGAGGCGTAAAGGTTATAAGTGTTTTGCGTGCTCGGCAATTTCTTGCTATCGAAAAATATGGATCAAAGGATTTGCATCAAATTTTGTGTAAAAAATAAAATAAAGTGCTCCGAAATACTTGAAATGTTGACGGCGGCATACGGTGAAACTGTTCTGAGTAAAAAAAATGTTTACAAGTGGTACAAACTCTCCCAAGATAACCGGGAGGATGCCAATGACGAGCCTCGCTCTGGACGCCCAAGCACGTCAACAACTGATGAAAACGTTCAAGCAGTGAAGAAAATTGTTCTGGAAAATCGTCGAATCACTATCAGAGAAGTTGCTGAGGATGTTGGTATATCGCTTGGCTCGTGCCATGAAATTTTTTCGAACGTTTTGGGCATGAGACGTGTGTCAGCAAAGTTTGTTCCGAAATTGCTAAATTTTGACCAAAAGAACCGTCGCATGAGTATCGCTCAAGAACTGTTGAATGACGTCAACGACGACCCAGATTTACTCAAAAGGGTCATAACTGGTGACGAATCATGGGTATATGGTTATGATATCGAAACCAAAGTCCAATCGTCCCAATGGAAGAGCCCAGATGAGCCAAGACCGAAAAAAGCACGCCAAGTTCGATCAAATGTCAAAGTTTTGCTCACTGTTTTCTTCGATTACCATGGCGTGGTGCATCAGGAGTTCTTACCATATGGACGTACGGTCATTAAACAGTATTATCTTGAAGTTATGCGCCGTTTGCGAGAAGCAATACGAAGAAAACGCCCAGAATTGTGGAAAAACAATTCATGGCATTTGCATCACGATAATGCCCCTGATCACTCATCTTTACTTGTGAGAGATTTTTTGGCCAAAAACAACACCGCAATCATGCCTCAGCCACCATATTCACCGGATTTGGCCCCATGTGACTTTTTCTTGTTCCCAAAACTAAAGAGACCTATAAAAGGACGGAGATTTGCAACGATTGAAGATGTGACGGGCGAATCGATCGTTGAGTTCGATCGCCCTGTCCGCCTCTCTCTCTCTTCCGCGTGCCTTCCCCTGAGTCGCTGCCACATCGGTCTTGGTTGATTAAAACCGAGTATCGACGCACGATGTGGCTTTGTTGCAAGTTTTGATTCCTGATCAGCGGAGATGCCTGGCGTTGGAGGGATAGGGCAAGAGCGGAGAGCAGAGGAGGAGAGAGAGAAGTAGTGTCGCCAGCATGAGTCGCACATATGTGCGTAGCCGGCGGCGCTCGGCCGTTTTTGAGTACCTATAAGGAGGGGGCGAGTAAGACGTCGCGGAAGGCGCGAGATCGCAGTCAGTGCGGCTTCGACCAGCAATTAATTTGGAGAGTTGAGCCTCGCGACCGAGAAGTGTGTGCGATAAGCATATCGAGTGAACGGAATAGAAAAGGAGGACATGACCATCTGCATCCATCCAGAAACCCGCCTTTCGAGGACGACATCGTTGGCCCAGAAGACGCGGACTTCTGCAGCAGCGCTCCCTCCCAAGGTCAGGTACCCTTTTTGTTTCTCGGTGCGTGCCTCGATTTCTCTCTCTCCGAGCATCGTATAGGCCGGACGCGGACGAGCGGTTGTATGCGTGAACTCGCATCGCCCTCGCGGAATACGCGGGACAAGTTGTAAGGTGATGTTCTGTCTCCTGTGCGTTAATTCGCACGGAACGAACATAGCCCGGACTCGGCCGACGCACACGTCGAACGCTGTATGTACGTTATTGTTGTAATAAAGTGTAAAATAGCTGAACTGATGAGTTTATTCTGTTTAACCCGTCTCTCTCGTAATTAGTTAAATTGCGATTATCGATATTACCGGACGACATAGCCCTTGTTAATTTTCCGCAACGAAGCGAGTGTGCCTTCCGAGCCTTTCCCCTTAAATAATTTGTGACGCAACGTTGTTCGGGCTTAAATTATTAACGTACGTGTTACAAAGAGATAAAGACTGCATCGCTGGAAGAGCTCAATGCTATACCGAAAAGTGCTTATGAGAAGTGCTTTGAGGATTGCAAAACCGTTGTTATAAGTGTATTGTATCTGAGGGAGATTACTTTGAAGGGGACAACATAAATATTAATAAATAAATAAATATTTTTTCTTAAAAATACAGTCACCTTACTTTTTGAGCACACCTCGTATAGCATACTATACTTTATTCACGCGTATGATTCACGCGTATGTATAAATTCTATGGTGTGAATTGTGAATAACTAACTAAAATTACAATTCGCTTTATTCTTAATACGGGTGTATAAGCACAATTACAGGATTATAGTATATTGATGTTTCCAAGACTTTTTTTAACCCTTAGAATTGAACCCTGGACCTCTATGACTGCTCATTTTCTTTCTTTTTCCGAGCTCTATTAAATGGTCCTACTCGTTTATATTTTACAATTTTTTAAACCACCGTTTTGTCAATTTATATCCCCTAAAGACGCCTCTCACCCTTTAATTTTCAATTTTTCGAATTTCCGATAGCGTCTTTTGATCTCAACCAATATTCAGGGGGTTATAAAGAAATTGTTTTCTGAAATTCGCCCCCTTTCTCGAGAAAATCGCCCCTATAAGGTTGATTCAAGAGTTTGTGATATTCGTATCACTTATAAATAATAATTCGAACTCTCGTATCTAGCTAATGAGTAAGAATTTGTTTCGAATAAAGTTACTCTACTTGTTGAAAAAATAAATAGATAAATCAAATAGACTCCACTAATAATAACAAATTGATAAATGAAATATATAATAAATATGTATAATGTTTGTTATACCTAGTTTCTTATGGTGCGAATTGTCTCATAAGTAGAGCTAAAGTCTTTCTTTGATAGAATATAATTCGGGCCAAATTTCTTATAGCGCGAGATGTTCTATAAGTTGAGCTCGAATTATAGGAAAGGAAATGTCTTGCTGAGTTAATCACAATGAGAGAAAGAACTTAGGTATCAGCCAAGTTTATTCAGACTCATGCGCTCACTTTGCAAGGCTAGAAGTGAATGCCAGCCTGTGCAATAGTGGGCGTATTTATACACAAATTTTCCCGACTATTTTCGCTGGAGCGTTTTCTTCGAGAAGTTTTCGAATATTCGAGAAACATTCGCGAATTTTGAGAAATGAATTATCTTAATTTACAAGTAAATAAACATTAATAATGAACTTTTAATACATGTGAACTTTACCGAATTCGTCATTTGTTGGTTTAATACAATATATAATTATCGCAAT